TATTAAACAATATCATGGACCTAAAAGACTTCTTCAAAGGTGTAAACAGAACTACCTTTACAAGATCTAGAGCCACTCCCAAAGATAGCTTAAGAGAGAGCCGAGGCAGGTGGAAAGCCAAGCCAGGTTCTCAGGATGCAAAACTAGAGGGACAAGAGGAGATAGTAATTCCAGGAGAAAAGGATCCATAACCAGCTGGTCTGGACTTGGAAAGGAAGAGATAATGTTAATATTTATTTCCCTCTCTCACCTGGACTTAGGAGGATTGATTTAAAAATGAAAGAACCACAGAAACAAACTCTGGGGACCCTGCCCAGGTTGAAGAAGTGTTTTACCTTAGCCCTCAGTTCAGTCCTTGCCCAAGGATGACAGGCATCTTGGGAGGATCACCTGTCACCTCAGGTGGTTTCCTGTGGAAAGAAAAGTGTCTCCTCAGGGGGAAAGGCCCCTGAGGTGGGCAAGTAGCAGAGAGAGCACTCAGGGGAAGGAGGATGGGGGAGGCGTAGGATACAAGTCAGTCTTACAGGCTTCGGTCTCAAACATCCCTCATGTTTCTAACTGTCCAGTAGCCTTTATTCAGGAACCTTTCCATGTGACTACTTTGGAATCTTGAAGACTTTTGGAGGCTTCTACATATGAACTAAAGTAGGCATCCCATTCCATGGATTTAGATTGGGAACCCTGACTGTGGTTCTTAAAGGTACAATCCTGTCTAACTGGAAGTTTCCTCCTAATGGACACTATAATTCTAGGTTCTTTTTCAATTCTTCTTTTCCATCTTCCTAGCTATCTCTGCGTTCTGGAATTACAATTGTTAGACTTAAATAAGCAAATGTACAGTAGGTATTGCCCGTGACTGTATACCCACCCCCTAAGCCTTTGGGTTTCTAGGAGCCCAACTAATATTCAAAAGGGAGGTGCCACAGGGTTGGGGACCATGTGCTGTTTCATAGGGTACCTAGTGGCAGGAAAGTTTTCTTGATGCTGGTGGGTGACCTAGTTTCCATGTAACCTGTTCCATGGCCAACTTACCTTATTATGGGAGACTTCTGGAGGGGGCGGGCCGTCTAACAGCTTTTCAATGCTGGAATCGTGCCAACCAATCCTTGTGGCTTTCTGGCCTCCAAGATCTCACTAGCAAGAACCCTTATGTATACAAAATAAGACAAACCAACACATGCCTTCATATGTCAGCAGAACTGCGTCTCGCCACTAAGAAGGCCCCGTGAGCACCAGCTCCATGTCCTTGGGAAGCTTGCTGAGGTTTTCCAAACGGGGAATTGTGCCTGAAAGGCTTGGATTGGCTCAGGGAAGACCCTTCTGTCAACTCAGGGGGCTCCGGGCAGACATGCCAGCGCCACTGGACTCCTGGCCTAACCTTCCGCAGCCCAAGCTGATTTGCTCTGTAAGGAGACCCAGTTGGATTGGAAGCTCCAGGGTAAAAAATAGAGACAAACAGAGCAGAGCTCTGACCCACAGGAGCTTATCAGAAAGGAGGTCCAGAAAAGGAGCTGTGACCCACTGTCTAGACCTGTGGAATCATGTTCCTAAAGAGAGCAAAAATGATTTTCAGAGGGCAAATTCATGGTTTCCTGATGAACACTTTTTGGCTTAAAATAGCATCTTTCTTAAACGTTTTAAATTAAATCTCAAGAAAAGCACATTCGATGCTGAAGAACATAATAATCCACAACACAGAGAATGGGGAGGAAGAGGCAGTTTCGACATTCCGTCTTTCCTCGTTTTATGAAACCATATTTTTCTGGAAATAAAACATTTCTGTTGGCTTTGACAAAGACTAGGGAGGGAAGAAGAATCTGTGCCTAATGGAGACAGAAGAGGAGAGTGACGGAACACTGTGCCTTCCCCGGACACCTCTCCTTGTGTCCCCTTTCTTTCCAGGGATCTGGGCAAGTGTTTGGGGACTGCACACGATGGGGACAGATGTCCTGCTGTGTAGTTGCTGGAGAGCAGTTCCCAGAGCATCAGCCCAGGCCCTGTCAAGGTCTCTCCTCCCCTCTGTGAGCACATCCACTTCGAGTAGGTTATTTGGCTTTAAATAGAAATAGAGGATAGTTCACTTGTTTTTCTGCAGAATGAAGAAGGACGGAGGAGAGCAGTGTGGGAGATGAATCTGAAAATGATTGAACAGCACAACCAGGAGTACAGCCAATGGAAACACAGCTTCGAGATGGCAATGAATGCCTTTGGTGACCTGGTGAGTGTGGCTTGGGTTGCTGAATGTTTCATGTGTCCCCTCCTCAGTGTTTTGCCAAAATAATCTCAATTTTCAACATTCCACTTTCTTTTCCTTGAAGACCAATGAAGCATTCAGGCCCATAATGATTGGCCTTCAGATACAGAAGCGTGAGGAGGAGAATGTGTGCCAAGCCCCTCTCTCTGCTGAGACCCCCTCATCTGTGGACTGGAGAGAGAAAGGCTCTGCAAACCCCGTGAAGGCTCAGGTGAGCCAGTACTCAGCAGCTGCAGCTCGAGAGTAAAGGCGAAAGAAATCCGTGTCATTGCTGTGTTTGGCTGAGAAACAATGGACAGCTCATGATGTTTCAAAAGAGTTTCAGATGTGGGAGCTGCTGTTACTCTTGGTTCTGTAGCCAAGAGAGCTAATAGCTCTTGCTATTGGTTCTGTAGCCTGAGAGCTTTTTAATTTGGTTCCAGGGTCCTGTGCTTCTTGTTGGGCTTTTAGTGCAACTGGAGCCCTCGAAGGACCAATATTCTAGAAAACTGGCTATCTAGTGTCACTGAGTAAGCAGAACCTGCTGGACTGCTCTCGGGCTGAAGGCAGTGATGGCTGCAGTGGTGGTCTGATCGGTTAACCCTTCCAGTATGTTCAGAACGACGGAGGCCTGGACTCACAGGAATCCTACCCATATTGTTTAGGGGTAAATGGAGCCCCTTATCTTGTTATAAACTTGAACACTTGCAGAGAAAAGAGAAACTGTATTTCATATTCACAATTTAGATCGTAGCCTTTGTACCTGCAAACTGTCTTGATCTCATGTTCCCCAGGAGATGGATCAGTAATCAAGTAATCAAGTCTCTATCTATTTTGAAAGCTCCAATCCTGCAAATACAGTCCAGAAAATGCTGCTGCTAGTGTAACTGGGTTCTGGGTAGTCCCCAAGATGGCATACAAACTTCTGAAGGCAGTGGCTGCTGTGGGACCTGTCTCTGTGGCTTCAATGCAAGCCTGGATTCCTTCCAGTTCTGGAACCAACATAAGCATTTGCCTATGGAGACATTTAGACAAAAAATGGAAAAGTCACCATCATGCACAAGATTGAGTCATGTCGAATTTCATGTAGAATTTTGTGGGGTTTTGGTTTACACAATTGTTCATTGTGTACATGTAATATTTGTGCTGTTTCCATTTGTAATGACTGGAAACACATCCTCGTGTTAATCACTTCATAAATATATTTAAAAGGCTACATAATTTGACCAATATACTTAATTTACTATACCCTTTTGAAGTTACTAGAATTTTGAAATTTTTCATAGGATTTCACTTGAAACTGTAAAGAGCAGCTTGGTTCAAGTAATTTTGTGATCTGTGGTGTTTCCTTAGGCTGACACCCTCAAGGTAAGTTCCTATAAGTGGTCTTTTCTGGTTCATGATCTGTTATTTAGAAAAGAGATGGGGCCACTTTGTGTATTTGTGGGTGTTAGATGAGGGCCTAAGTCTCTTACCTAGCCCAAAAAGATCTAGCATTTTTTTCTTTTTAAGATTTTATTTATTTGTGAGTGAGAGAGAGAGAGCATGAGATGGAGAGGTCAGAGGGAGAAGCAGACTCCCCGAGGAGCTGGGAGCCTGATGCGGGATTTGATCCCAGGACTCTGGGATCATGACCTGAGCTGAAGGCAGTCGCTCAACCAACTGAGCCACCCAGGGACCCCAAAGATCTAGTTTTTAACCATATCTGGACTTAGGTCATTTCACTGAAAATTGAAATATCTCCCTTATCGTAGTTGATAGCTGGGTTACTATCACATGTCATATGGAAAACCTCACTCCAGCACCGAATTTTACTCTCCAGGCATTTATTAGGATCTGAAGTACAGCAGTGAACGCCTGAATCAGGGCGTTCTGGTGGTTGGTTATGTCTTTGAAGGACAGAATCAGAGAACAAAAAATATTGGATTTTCAAGAACAGGTATAAAAAGCCAAAAATACTTACCTTTGAAAAAGAAAAGGGCATCCTTTTTGGAATCAGTGCTTGGACACAAGTCCCCCAACCCTTGAGCACACTTGTGAAATCCCAGAAGTGTTAACCCCACGAGGCGGGAACACAGACATATTCATGAGACGACCACAGGAATGTACTGTCTCAAGCTGGCCAGGGTCCTGTGATGGTTTTGGTACCGTTGCATTTCTAAACTGGATTTTTTATTAATTCTGTAACACATCTGGCCCCAAGAGTTTCTTTTTTCTGTTTCCATTTGCAGTCTGTGAAAGGTCTGCGGACAGAACTCTGAGCTGGGTTAGAACTCGAGCAGGAACAGGAAGGGCCTCTCCAGATTCTTCCCGAATCTGTCCTGGCCTCTGGTGCCCTGCTCAGTGTTGGGTGTGATTGTTCATGAAGGGAAATGTGTGGTGGGTTTTCTCTCCCTCCTGCGGGCCGTTCCCCACACGTCTGTACAGACCAATCTCCCCAAGTGCCCGCGCTGGGACTCCAGGATTCCGCCTGTGTTTGGGTCAGGCAAGGACAATGGAAGTGGTTCCCTTCTTTGAGTGAGAACAAATGTGAAAACCCTCTGGGCTCTTCCCATTTCCCTGTACCATTCCCAATTTTTTTTTTTTTTTTTTAACCATTCCCAATTTTAGTAACAACAACCCTGAAGTAAGTTGGGTGTGTCCATACGGGGGTTCAGGTTCACGGACTTTCTGGACTTCAGTGTGGTTTGTCCGCTCTGTGGGTACCGCGGGGTGAAAATAAAACAGAGATATAGGATCCTTTTTGAACGAAAGCCCAACAATCGAATGCAACAAGCAATAGTTTATTTATATTAAAAAAAAAGGGAAAAGAAAAAAAAGAGAACAGAAGTGAGAAACCAACATCTTTTTACTACATTGTATAGATTAAGTAAAAATACCTGTATTCATATATATGTATATACATAATGCATATTTATATATATATACACATATACACACATGGATTGGAACATTAAAATTACATGCTTCCCAGGACAGAAGAATTAGGACACGTTCCCTCATATCAACTTAAAACTCCATCACAATTTAAAATCACTGCAAGGAAACTGACTTCCGTCATCTTGTTGGACTTCAAGTACACAAGGTTACGGAACCAGAAGCTAGATGTAAAACTCGTCCGCTGTGCACCGATGACAACGGACTGCCACACGCCACGGGGCAGGGGTCTTCCGAGTTCTCCCACAGGCCTTCCTCACCTGCAGCTGTGTCACCTTCTACCTGAGATGCGCGGGAATGAGGCAGGGGGACCATGGGCAGGTGCTGCGTGGACCCGCACGTCGACGTTTAAACAAGAGCAACAAAGACACGTCTTTCCATGAAAACAACGCCGGTCGTGAAATGACTCCAGAAGAGGGTTCCTTCCTCCCCTTTCCTTGCCAAGTGAAACACAAAAACTACTGGGGGACAAACCAGCTCAGGGCGCAGCACCTCCAGCGGTGATCAGCAGACAGCAAGGGACAGAGAGGGGGCGTCTCCTGGCGACAGCTCCTGGCTGACCCGGCTGCTCTCAGACACACCCTCTTCTGCAAAGGCACTCACATGTTGTCTGTTTATGAGGGATACAGTGGGAGTCCATGCATGGGAGTCCTTCCTACAAATACCAAAGAGATAAGCTGAGGACGTGGTCTAACAGGGACAAGAGGAGAAGTAATACACATTTTGGATAAATGTGTGTGGGTTTTTTTTTTTTTTCTTTAAAGGACAATCCGTAGTTTAAAAAATTTCATTGAAAGTGAGGAATTCCAGTAAAATTATCAGCAAGGAGCAAGGTGCTGGAGGTGAGATGTATCCAGAACAGAGAGAGGAGGGACGCTAGTTTCTCAAACGGCCAGAGGACAAGGGGATGCACGGTCTGCTCTGAAACGAGAAAGACCATCCACACACAGTGGAGTGTGTGAGCGGGAGGGACACAGTGGCAGAGAGACTGGTAAAACAGGAGGGAGGGTGGCATCCTTCCATATGTGGGCACGGGGGGATGCACCCTGAATTTCTGGATGGGAAAGAGGGGCCGCATCCCCCTGTTTTGCAGGCCAAAGAGACCCCGCCCAAGCCCAAGGCTGTCCTCACCGGGACACGACGGAGCTAATAGAGTTGTAAGATGTGCCGCTGTTGCAGCTCGAGTCATAGGCCTCCTGGCCATTGCCGTCGAGGTTGATCTTGAACACAGAGGACGCCTTCAGTAGAAAGTCCGCTGCGTCCCGACGCCCCAGCTCCCGCAGTTTGGACATGAGGATACCCACCGTGCTCTCGGGGTAGGAGGTCCATTCCCCGAGCAGGGCGTGGACCGGGCTGGGGAGGAACTCCTTGGGAGCCCCGTTGTTGGTGTTGTACTTCGCCACAAGATCGGGGAGACCCAAGTTCATGGCGAGAAGGCACCAGTCCTTCCCCATGGGATCGGGTGGGTCCAGGAGACGACAGAGCTTCCTCCGGGTCAGGAGGTTCAGATCCGAGGCATGGATGTCCATCCCGAGGCTGGCCTGCGAGTACACGTCATGACAGCCAAAGCACATGATGCTGCTGAAGCTCTCCTTGTAGCCCCCCATGGTGTTCGTCAGCGAGGTCTCCTTCAGGGTCTGCGCCCGGAAGAAGTCCCGCGGCTGGTAGATCATGACGGGCTCGTGGTGCTCCCGCAGCTGCTGGGGGCTCAGGTAATGCTTCACCGTCAGCAGCCCCGGGAGCGTGGTGGCCATGACGTTCTCCATGGTGCTGCACACGGAGTCCAGCAGGAGGCAGCACTTGATCTTTTCCGTCTCCAGCCCGCGCACCTGCACCTCGATGCCCTGGCCGTGGTTGACCAGAAGCACGAGCAGCTCGGCCCCGCGGTTGGCGATCTTGCAGCCGTTCACCCACAGGCGGATGTCTGCGTCTCCCTCCGCGCTCTGCTGGTGGATCCACCGGCACAGGTTCACCTGGACCTTGTGAAAAATGCCGCACGGGAAGGGGGTGAGGTACTCCACGGGGACGATGCGCACGCCGCCGTAGACCCGCCCCTCGTCCTCCTCGTCTGTCCAGGACCGGTGGAGGTTGTCCGTCTTGATCAGGGCGGGGATGTCCACCATGGTCCCGCTGCTCAGGTCGCGGGCGCAGATGTCCATGGCGTCCAGGATCTGCAGCAGCTCCTCCACGTCACTGTCGGGCACCAGGCGCTGGACGTCCTCCACGGTGTAGCGGCCCCGGTAGTGGTGCAGGGCCCGTGGGGTCTCCACGGACAGCAGCTTCCCCAGCACGTTGGTGCAGAGCCAGCGAGGGTCCAGGAGTAACACGTCCTGCACCGTTTCGCTCTGCATGATGTTGATCTGTCGGAAAGGACAACAGGAGGTCACACGTGGGGACCAAGATGGCCAGAGGCACCAGTTCAGAGCGCTAGGGGACCCGAACAATGATAAACTCTAAGCACATGTTGCAAAAACTGACCCAGGGCATTCATGGGGACAGATCTCGGAAATCCAACAGCGACCCAAAACACCAGCTTGAGAAGGTTCTGAGAAGGAATGAAAAGATTACCTTGGATAGTTTAAAAAAAAAAACAAAAAAATGGTCAATGCAATGAGCGAAAGGCAAAAAGAGAGAGAGATGGCAGACAAGTGCCATGAGAAAATTTTGACCGGATTCTACATTCCCAAATGAACACACAAATGAATGAAAACAACTATGACAGAAATGACTGGGACAAGCGGCAAACACTCAAATGGGGACTATATGTTTAATAGTAGTATTATATCCATGCTATGTTTCTGGAACACAATTAATTATATTGTGGTAATCCGGGTGACTCCATCCTTAGTCCTCTTGTCTTGTTCATGGTCACTCGCTGATGCCCTCCGTGGCCCAGGGGCTCTTGGAGATTAATATATGAATCTGAGAAACACCCACCAAGGCCAGGAGGGTAGGAAGCTTGCTTTGGCCCTTGGTAAAGTTGTCGAAGAGAACAAAGTGTCTCCCCTTCCTGACACACAGGTGGTGCCATGAGATCTAATTCGAAGTTAGAAGTCAGTGAGTGGCACACGGACCCTGTCTACAAAATCTGTAGACAACTGTCCAGACTTTGTGGAGACCAACAGCACAAGTGGGTCATTGCCCACCCCATCTCCCCTGCTCGTAAGTCACCTTGAATAAAACTATAAGGAGTTGCCTTCTTCGTTTTTTGGGTCTCGTTTTAGGAGCTACTTTACGGTCCCTCCTCCACCCTGTACCAGTGGGAGGATACCCCACAGCGGAGGGGCTACAAGCTCAATTATTTAGGGGTGAAATGTCTTATTTGCAAAACAAATAAGCAAATAAATAGGAGAGAGAGAGAGAGAGAGAGAGAGAGAGACAGCACCAATGGAGTAAACACTTGGTTAACTTAAGTGTGAAGCAGATGATGACTGAGCTCTTCTTGCACTTACTTCTCTGAAGGCTTAAAATTTTTCAAGAAAAAGATTAAAGTTGTTATATTATTTCATCATGTAAAATTTTAACACACACAGAAAAAAAGGTCTGGAAAGCGATGCCTGCAGGCAGTGGTGTTAGAGAGGAGGAGGGAGGAACGAGGCTGCACAGGACTTGGAGCGTCACCTGTCACCTGTGTTTCTTTAAAAAGCAGAAGTCTGCGAGACAGAAAACGGACAACACCCAGAGGCAGCTGCGCTCTGTGCCGCACCTCCCTCCTCTCCTCCCTCTGAACCCAGAGCCGCTTCCCTTCTCACATGGAGGCGGAGGCTCCTGACTGTTGGTACCAGGACCACCTTCTAGTCTACACTGCAGTTACAGCTTTGAGAGCCCCTCTGCCCACGAGTGTGTTCCAAATGGTCCCTAGAATGACAATTCCGGGAGGGTAGAGCAGATCTATTGCTTGTTAGGCATTTGGAGGGACCTCAGGGTCAGGGAAGACTGAGACACTGGCCACACGGGAGCAGACTAAGGGGACAGATGACTTCGTGCAGTGAGGGGTCCCAGAGCAGAAAGACGCATCAGGACAACCGGTGACATGTGCCTAAAAGCTTCCTTACCAGTGGGCAGTAACAGCCTGGGGGAGGGACTGGTGGCCAAGCAGAGCCCGGGCACCTGACAGATTCCCCTTCCTTACTCCTACTATCGGAGCTTCACTTACTCACTTAAAGTCTCAAGGGCAAGGAGAATAAAGAATACAGTGGATTATACCCTTGCTCTAGAAACTGCTGGTCAGATATCAGAAGACAAGAGAAGACTGAGTCAATGGAGAGAGTTTATTATTACGGTTACTCTTATCTTATAATGTAAGCTGGGATTCCGGTCCTTGGATTCAATCACTTTAAAGCAGAGCGGTAGGGGCCTGTAGATTACCAGCAGTTTCAGCAGAGTTCGGAGGCTCCCACTCTCACTGCCTGATGCTCTAGTTTTCAGGGTCACCAGATTCAGTTTTAATGTCAGGCCTATCTGACTCACACACACGGGCCTTGAGTCAAGGGGACACTGAGACTGGACCGGAAGCTCCTGGTGTCTAGAATTCTCAGAACTGCTTCTGGGTCTTCACGTTCAGAACTGCTCTTCGTGGCCCGGACTAGCCTCAACTGTCCCCTGATGTCACAGGATGGAGGAACGAAAAGGCTAGGTCCCCTCTTTGGGGACAGGCAGAAGAGGCGATGAGAACAGAAGTCCCAAGCCCCAGTGCTGAATGCCACGCACGCAGGAGCAAAGATCTCCATTTCTGGGTCATTTCTGGGGGACCCTGCTTGCTGGGTGAAAGTGTCTCTGATGTCCTCTCGTCACTGCCTTTTCTCAATAATCTGTAAGCCCCAAAGTCTGTTTAGGTTTTCAGCCCATGGGGCAGAAAATCACAGCTAAGCACTGGGTGCCCCAGGACGAGAGGAGAGAGGCCCAGTTGCCCCGTGCGGCAGGAACTGTGCCCCCTAACTCGCACAAGCGGGGAAAATGAGCAAACCCGCACACAGCCACGGGACAGCTCTCAGGGGGCACGGGGGAGCAGAGAACTCCGAATATCACCCGAATACCACCCGGGCCCCACGTCTGGATAGATTGTGGGTGGCTGGTCAGTTTCTACTCGGCTCTGCGGGCTCAAAGCCCCTTCCGAGGCGGCAGAAACACTCCCGTGGAGCCCCTCCCCCGCCCCAGCCCGGGCCCCGCCCCCTACCCCTACCTCGCCTGCGCTGTGGAGCTGCTGGGCGATGCGCCGGAGGTCTCCCTCCCTGGCCAGCGGGTTCAGCTGATCCTGCACGTCATACACAAACTGCTGCAGCGACATGAGCTGGTTGGGCCCGTTGAGCTTCCTCCAGGAAGGCAGCGTGGAGATGATCTTCTCACACAGGTGCGTCATCGGCGGGCACACCTAGAACAAGCAGGACCGGACAGGTCAACCTGCGGCCCAGGGCGCTCCCTCGGAGAAGCCCAGGGAGAGGGGATGGCGCTCTTTTCAGCACCGTTGCAAGAAATATTCGGGATGAGTTAGGGCTTTTTTGTTGGGCAAACGGGCCCAGTTCTTTCTTTACAGCGCCGCCTCTCCGTGAAACCCGGTTACAAGCGTCAAGTAGTACATGGACGCTTTCGTTTCTACGGCGAATGGTTAAATAGGGGGGAGGCTTCATAACAAGGCATTTGGAACAGGGACTCAATCTCAGTGCTCCTTGGCCCCAAAAGCTGTGTTCCATCCTGCCCTGGAGCAATTCTTTCAGCCACAAGATGGTCACTTGATGAGCAAAGGGACAGGAAAAGAGATGAACCGTCCTTAGCAGTATCCCAGTGGGTTTTTACCAGTAAATTAGGTATTCGTGGGAATGTTGTGGATAAATACAGTTTTAAATGAGACTAATTCTTGGTAACAGGCTTGAAATAGATTTCTTTCTTAAATTATTTCCAAAAATTTTGAGTATAGTTGACACGCAACCTTACGAGAGTTTTAGGGCGTGACGCAGGGAGTGGACCAGTCCACAGGCTATGCCAGGCTCACCACACAAGTGTGGTGACTTCTGTCACCGCCCACTGTTACTATACTATGGATGATATTCCCTATGCTGTGTCTTTTATTTATTTATTTATTTATTTATTTATTTATTTTTTAGATTTTTATTTATTTGACAGGGATCATAAGTAGGCAGAGAGGCAGGCAGAGAGAGAGGGGGAAGCAGGCTCCCTGCCGAGCAGAGAGCCCGATGGGGGCCTCAATCCCAGGACCCTAGGGCAATGACCTGAGCCAAAGGCAGAGGCTTTAACCCACTGAGCCATCCAGGCGCCCCTATGCTGTGTCTTTTATTCCTGCGACTTACTCCCTCCACAGCTGGAAGGTTGTAACTCCCACCCGCCTTCACCTATTTTGCCCATCCCCCCACTCCCCTTGAAATTGATTTTTAATCTTTTAATTCCATTAAATAAATCATCTGTGTGACAGACTCAGATAATCTGCACACCATCCTAATTAAAAAAGCCAGCCATATACTGCCCTGCATCATTAACCATGTAGTCCCTTCTCAAATCCTACCTTTAGGTCAGCTAAATTCCACTCCCTATTCATAAAACAAAGTTCCCAGGCAAAAAGGCGGTCTGTGTGATGGGTTCCATCTGCTCAGCCTCAGAAGTTGAGGGTGGGGGTTGTGAAGCAGACAATCTCACCACCTCCCAGTTCAAACTCTGAGCCCAGAGCAGAGCCCCTACTGCCAGCTGGTGGGGAGGGGCTGGGGTCCTTCACAGACCACTGTTCCCGATCAATGCCCACTGGTTTCTGTGACGGGGTTCTTCTGAGACCCCCCCCCCCCCCGCCAGACTACTCCCCACTCACTGTGCCTTACTGGAGATCCCACTGGAAGGCAAGAACTGGCCTTCAGGTGGGCCCAGAGTTTTCCTAAAGATTCCTACAGCACATCGGGAACTGGAGCCTGGTGTGAAGGGGCATGTCCCAGCAGGGAAGCAGTAAGCTCTAAGTGGAGCCACCGCCCCCCCCCCCCCCCCCCCCCCCCAAGGGAAGGAGAGACACAGGCTCCTTGTTCCCACCCAGGAGGCTGGGGCAGCAGCAACTTTTCAGGGAGCATTCTGCCCTTGGGATGTTTACCCTTTTGTGTCAGCTCCAGAGAACTTTTCGAGTATTATAGAGCAGCAACCTTTTATGGGTCAGAGGCACTGAGAATATTTTTTTCCAGTCTATTTCACCTTTTAACTTTGTTCATGGAATTTTTTTGACAGAAAAGAAATTTTAGCTTCCATATTGTCAAATAGATACTTTCTTTGAAAACTCGTAGGGTTCCCTGTATGACCTAAAAGGTTTTCCAAAGCAGTACCAAGTTATTTTAAAAACATAGTCAAGATATTGTGGGGGTTTTTTTTCTTCTTCTTTTTGACATTTAATAGGTTTAATCCACCTAGAATTTATTTTGGGGACTCTCAGTGAGTAGAATTCAATCTCATTTCATTCTAGAATAATAGCCAGTTGTGTCAGATCACGGATGAAATCACATTTTCCCCCAAACTGAAACAACATCTTTGTCTTCTACTAAATTTCTGTAGATGTTGTGATTTACTTCTACACTCATTTACTCCGCTTATTGATTTTTTAAATTTTGGATTAGCTACACAGTTTTTATAATATGTTATTTATTCTTCCACTGAAATTTTAAGATAAAAATCCCAATCCAATTATCTCATTCCCGAAAGATGTATGCTGGAACTGTATTAACTCTAAGAAGTGCCTCTGGCTTTTTTTTTTTTCAAATTTACTTATTTATGGAGGTGCCTATGTGACTCAGTCGGTTAAGCAGTTGCCGTGGCTCAGGTCACGGGTCCTGGACCAAAGTCCTGTATCAGGCTCCCTGCTCCTTGGGGAGCCTGCTTCTGCCCCTCCCCCTTGCTCATGCAAGCATGCACACCCCTCCTCCCTCTCTCAGTCTTGAATAAATAAGCTCTTTTAAAAATAAATTTATTTATTTTAGAGAGAGAGGAAGAGAGCATATACAGAAGGGCGGGGTTGGGGGGACAGAAGGAGAGAATCCTCCAGCAGACTCCGGGCTGAGTGTGGAACCTGGTGTGCGGCTAGATCTCACGGCCCATCAGATTGAGACCTGAGCCAAAACCAAGTTTGGACGCTTAACTGACTGAACCCCGCAGATGCTTCTCTCCATTTTCTAAATATCGCACAGTAAGTCACTTCTGGGTGGTTTCTGTGATTTGTAAAAGGCCGTGTTACTAAAACTGTCAGAATCTCATACACCCAAAGGTGACCCCATGTCCATAACCCCTCAGCTCCAGGCCCCCTCCTTGTTCTCACCCTTCTTTCCTCCCAGAGCAACGGGACACAAACACGGCCCTGTGACTGCCCTGTCCCGGGGCCCCTGAGGACTCAACCAAACCACAAGGATAGCACGAACAGATCGGCTCTGGGGTGACCTCATGGTCTGGGCAAAGGTGGGCCTGCAGCCTCCCGGCTCACTCACCGACACAATCTGGCTCCGGATGTCTTGCAGGTGACTTCGAAGGACCTTCATGTCCTTAGAGCCCGAAGCGCCAGCATCCAGAACAAATAGCTTGTTTGAAATGTGAAGATCGTTTCCAAACCTGAGGGAAGAGCAGCGGCCTCCTCAGGGTGCTGCGGTGCCCCCGGGAGCCAGGCTTCTGCTGGCCAGAAACCAGAACATTCTTGTGACCTTGCAAAGGCCAACCCTCCCTTGCCGTCTGCTGGCATCCCCTGGCGGGAGGGGTGGGGACCCGCATGCTCTGAGACCTGAGGATGGTGGCTGCTGAGGGACGAGGGGCAGTTCCAGTCCCACAAAGCGGCAGGCACACAGTATGGGAAGATTTCAGGTCACCTGACGCAGGACAGATGAGGCCTGTGCCTGCCCCTTGCACGCTAAGAGGACGGAGGCCGTCACAGGGTGATGGCGTAAGAGCAGACGATGGGCCTGACAGTCACACCTTCGATGGAAAATATTAGTACGAGCCCTTTTTTTCCTATCAGGAGGACCACAGGAAGTGTCTGCAGACAATCAATCGAGAATTCACATTACTGTCAAAGCTGCAGCTTCCAGATTTTTTTGACAGATGCTATGTAAAAATGCGTATTTCTACACTGTGACCCGTGCACATCCACAATGATTGATGAAACAGAAATTCTACAAAAACACGTGCCAGGAATCTCACGCTGGTATTTCCCCCTCCAGCCCCTCCTACTTTCCAGATCAGGTCAGGACCCCCAAGTGACTGTCACGAGCCCCTCATGAGCGGCAACTTTGCCTTGAGTGATACTGCTCAGTGGTAAGAAGACCATCGTCAGAGGAACTGAGAGCAAAAGCAACAACCACCACCGGGGGTCTTCATCAACATGGTGACCACAGTTGGTGACACTGCATTACACGACAGACATTTGCTAAGGGTTGAGCTTAAACATTTTTGGGGGAGAAACATTCTCACCAAAAAATAAGAAATAAGGAGAAGAGAAGGAGGCGTAATGATGGATGTGCTAACTAGCTAGACGGGCACCGATGCCAAATCTGATAATGTCATCTGTCGGGTGGAGGTGCCTCCAGAAAGCGGAAACTCAGTGCATGAAACCCCTAACAGAAGATCCCCTGGGGCACTGGCTACAGGGGGTCAGGAAAGCAATGCATGCTTTGTTGTTTTTTATCCCATGCTCTTTACTTCTGTTGCATCTGTTATGTTTTCAATGTTTTGATACAAATAAAAACCATGCCACAGAAGTCAACCAAGCAAAGGAGACCTCTGGTCTCCGTAAGCTCTGTGGGATGGCCCCTGTCACCAGCGACGCCCTCACCTGTTCCTGATCTCCTTGAGCAAGGACGTGTCCTTGTCATACCCAAACTCGCCTCCAGCCGGCCGAGGCACATTCATGATGTCGGCGTGGGTGGCCACCAGGACCACGTGCAGCGGGTTCTTCAGCTTGCCGCCGAAGGCTGGGGGCAGAAAGCAGGTGTTTCACAGGTGGGTCCTCCTTCCTGGCTGCCTTGAGTTCCCTGGGGGAGGGAGGCCGTGCTGGCCTCTGGGAGGTGCAGACTGCCCGCTGTGTGGGCTCAGCCTGAGAAGGCCTGGGCCTGGCCAACATCGGGATGAGCCTGTTTCCTGGGCTCAGACCACAGAACACGAGGGAGCTTCTCAGCTCTCCCTCTGGGGGGCCCTGCTTGCATGGTGTGGGGAAATCAAACTCCGAGCAGGTGCACCCTTTACCAGACAAAGAAAGCCCTCCGAATGCAGCGACACCCAGAGATGGCGGAGAGGGCCTCCTGCGGTGCACACAGCCCACCAGCCTCTCCTTAGCTCCTTAGGGTTTAGGAAGAAAACAGCCAAAAGAACAGGAAAGCAAGAGGAAGAGTGGGGGTCCCCTGAAGAGGTTAAGTCCAATTATTTGATTATTGCATGAATTTCAAAGAACAAAACAGATAGCCCAGTGCCCACCCTGGAAGGCTGCTCCTTTTTGTTTTGTACACGAAGGAACAAAAGTGTATTGGAGGTTGTCTTCTGCTCTAGGAATAGAGTTAAGAGAATATGTTCACACTCATTAGGGTCCCTTCCGTTCTTGATGGAACCACACAACAGAGGAGGGCCCGTTCTGCTTTTTCATCACGTAGGCAGAGGCACAGAGACCATCAAAGGACGAATTCCACTTCCACCCAACAAAAGTGACCACAGCTCTAGCATGTAGGGAGAGAGTGACACGTGGTTCTCAAGGAATTGCTCGGACCTGGTCTCTGAGGCAGGAAAATGTGATCCTGTAATAACTCCCTGTGAACAAAGGGAGCGGCCGGGCCTCAGGAACCGTCCAGAGCGGGAATCTAGTCATGGGAAGGAGAGACCGGGTGTGGGGGAGCCTCACAGTTAGCCCCGAGCTGTGGATCCTCCCGGCGGGAAGGGCGCCCCCACCCCAGACCTGCTAGCTTACCAATGGGCTCTTCAACTGGCACGAGAGACTTTAGGAAATTCAGCCAGAAAATCACTTGGTTCAACTGGATCTCGTAGGGTTCTTCCAGACTGAAAACGATGACGTGGATGGATGTGGGATCGTTGGCGGCAAAGTAGTCGTAACAGCAGAAGTACACAGGATTTCCAGAGAATTCCCACACGCTGAAATCACCGACGCCTACAGAGAGGAGAGATGACTTATCTGTACCACCACCAGCAAATGCCAACCACAGTTTTTTGTTTTTGTGGTTTTTTTTTAACAGTTTAGGGCCTGCTGAGGGAAAGAGTGGTGTCCATACCACCCAGCTGTTTATCTATACACTCCCACCTTCCCCACAGGAATGACTCCTCACGAGGAAGGAGTCAGAGCCAACTGGTGGCTTTGGGCTCCCCATCAACAAACTCACACAGTCAGAGAACGTATGTGATAAGATTCCCTACCTTCAAAGAAGTATAAAATCCTTTTTGGAACATGACAGGGTATATGTGATGTTGAATGTAAAAGTCACTGAGATATGTAATTTAATTTTGGTTAAATTACCAAATATAACCAAATTATTTATTTAATTATTAATAAATATAACAATGTTTTATTAATAATAACAATTATATATAATTGTTATTAATATATAATATTATATATTATAAATTATATTATATATAATATAAATTATATATAATTGTTATTATATATAATAACAATTATATATAACAATAATTATATATAATATTTTATATATGTAATATGTATAATTATATAATATAATAATATAATATAATAATATCAATAATAAATTTATTTAAATTTAAATTTGGTTATATTCACGTTCCTCAGGTGAGGAAGTGACCTGCTCAGGTAGGTCACCTGCACAGGTGAAAGATGCAATGGTTGATTAGCACGGTCTGCATCTGACGGAGGGAGCTGTGAGGAGGTGGGGTCCATACACTCAGCCAGCGTGGGGGGCAGTGGAATACACAGGGGCATCCCTAGCCCTACACGGCCACATCTCAGCAAGGCAGTGACCATCCACGCACTGGCCTCTGGGGTAAGCAGGCAGGACCATTTATGTTGTAGGATTTCAAGCTCCCTTTCCCCAATTCTTCCCCTCGGTGCTAATTTTGGGCCAGAAATTCTGCAATCCACCATTATTCAGGAAGATCCAAGGGCACTTTTGGAGCCTCGACTTGGAGCACAGGCAGCCCTGGGCACGGGACTCTCTAAGTCTGTCCGCTGAGGCAGTAGTGTGGAGGGTTCCGGAGCACAGGCACAGGTCCTCTAGCACTGGGAGCACTGGGAGCCAGATCTCGGGTGGGGCAGGGGCTGCGAGGAGTCGGGTGAGCGAGGGGTGCTGGGGACAGGCTGCCCCTCTCCCGATGCTATGACACTAGCTCAGCTCCGGACCACAGACAACACTCCGCTTTTAAAAAAGAAAATGCCCGTGGGCTTTAATTCTACATCCCTGGACCCAGTGGTTCTCCTAGTGGGCAGCAGCCTCACTTGGGAACCTCGCCCCCCCCCACCTCCTGGCTCAGCAGCTCTGGGGGGCAGGGTGGCAGTCTGAGTCTTCACAAGCCTCGCAGGAGACCCGTCTGCACCCCGGAGATGAACAGCTCGAGGTGACACACATTGACGTCTACCGTTCACGGGGTTCAGGGTAATCACGGAGCCGACGGGAAGATGCCTCCGACCGGCATTGTCCGAGCACCTCCCCTGTGCAGGACACTGGAGTGGGCGCTGGAATCAGCGCATACGGTCCTCACAGGTGGGTCTCAAAGAAACTGCTTTATCCCTGCTCTAGACCTTCTGCTCTAGGAATAGAGTTAAGAGAATACATTCACACTCATTAGGGTCCCTTCCGTTCTTGATGGAACTGGCTGGCATTCAAGTGACAAAGTGGGCCAATGGGGGGCCCGGGAGCTCCAGGGGCTGGATGGGGGGTGACACAGTGACTGCTAGAGAAAATAACCTTCCAAGGGAACATTTGAAGTGTCACCCCCTTGGAAATGTTTGAGGGCAAAGAACACATGGGAAATTTTGCCCTTGGAGAGAATCGCCCGTGCCTGGGCTGCCTAGCACCAGCCACGAGTGCAGATGTGGTCAAGGATAACTCTTCTCACACCTGCATTTGTCAAACTGCCAGCGGGATAGTATTTTATAAGTTTTCTCATCCAAGTGGATGTTGGGCTCTGCCAAGAAAATGTATTGATTTATTCAACATTTTCTGAGCACCTACTGTGTGCTTGGGGCTCTGCTAGGTGCCCAGGAGGACAGGGGGTTTAGTTTCACTCCTTACAGGTAGGAACCAACTGTGCTTCACTGGGCTACTCCCTCGGTCACTCTGTGTGGCTCTTTCTCTGTCCTTGTGGGGCTGTGACAGACGCGGGGGACCGCTCCCTCAGGGGGAGGACTTACAGTCCAGGGAGAAGGGAGACAGAAGGTGCTCCCCAGTGGGGTGCATGGGCCACTGTACCGTTCAGATAAGCATTCTGGATGTCAATGGCCTTAGTGGACTGGTCGTCGGCTGCGCAGTGTGGGTGCTGGGGTGGGGCCACCAACACCTCCAGGGTCCCTCGCGTGAGTCCCGGCTCGAACATCATGCTACGGCTCCTCACGCTCACGTGCTCGCAGCCCGGGTACAGGTTGCTGATGCTCACGGACACTGCAAGTGGACGGGAGGCGGTGAGAACAGGGCTGCCTGAGTGTCTACTCCCCCCAGCCTGGCCCGTGCCTTGTCTCTTCCCAGGACACTCTCGTCCCCACACCCTGCTGCTTTGGGCTGGCCCCGTGGGCCCCCCACGTGTGGGTCAGGGGTGTTGCCCTGGTTCTTCCTGTCCGCTCCACCTCCCGCAGCCCTGGCCTGTGCTGCTCAGTGCCAGAGGCGGACCCCAGAGACAGACTCAGACACCACCCCCCAACCCCCCCCTTGCGCAGCGGCTTCATCCCGGGGCTTCCAGCTTTCTCAGGAACAGAGTATCTTCCTCTGGTCTTTCCGCCCCAGGGGAGGGAATGGCTTCCTTCTGTCCCAGGCCTTGAATGCTTCACCGTCTCAGCTCCCCTGACTGTGCCCATGACACTGTCCTTCCATTAACATCCCCATCAGGACCCTGACTGAGGCCGATGACGCCGTCCCACTCTGGGCCATGAGATTGTGTCAGGCTGACCGCAAGAGGATTCTACCCACTAGCAGGCCAGCTTGTCCCAGGCAGAGCGGACGGGATTTGGCAGGCAGTCCTGAACCTCACTGAGTTCTCGTTAGGACAGAGTTTGTGTCCGGTATCATAAAAATGATCATTTCACAGGGAGACAGAGGCATCAGAGGGAAAACATTCATCGTTGCTCACTGCTGACCCCTAGTGGTGGGAAGCGGCAGG